TTTTTGCACTGGACAGGCACAACTTAATGTGGTTGTTACTGTTTTTAATTGAATGTAGCGGAAAATACAACTGACAGGTTTGTCCATCAGACCAGCTTTCCTTAATCTGATGGATGCCAGATTCTGTTTGACTGTAACCCCATCATTACCACTCAGCAAACTCACAGGCTCAAAGTGATTGGAGTTGCAGTCTTACATGTTTGGAAATGGATGGGTTTGGGAGACCTACACTGTACACTTTGAGTATGAAATACATTATTGGCAATGATTACTATAGTGCAGGTTCATGTTTGCTAATTACCAGCAAACTTCACCTTTCTAGCCCTTAACTTCTGAGAAGCCATTCAGTTTTCCTTCCTTTAATTTCCCGGCAGGAAGCCTATTAAAAAAGCAATTATAGCAATGTATTGACCTTGGGCAGAAAGGAAGTTTTTGTTTAGTCAACTCTACCTTTCTCAGAAAACCAAAGGTTTTCCATTAGATTCATTTGCTAATCAGCAAATGCTATTTAGGCAGATATTTGGCGACTGAGTGCCAGAATCAAGGGCTTTAAAGGATGTGCTCTACTTTTCTACTTTGATCGTAATTATTATTTTTAACTGAGATGTACTATTTAATGATTTTAACCCTCCATTTCAATATATTTTATGTTATCTGCTATCAAGCTGCATTTGGCATATGTCATCCCTAGTAGAGTTTTCAAGATATGTGAGATATTGAAGGAGTGATTTTACCAGTGCCACCATCATACCAGTAAGTTTTTATGGCTGAGAGCCAGTTTGGACCAAGATCTCTTGAGTCGTAGTCAGTCATTCCACCCACTATACCGCACTGGCTCTCTTTTAGTATGGTAACCAATATAATCATCTTATAATCTTTATAACATATTATTTTTAAATTGTATTTGTTTCTAAAATTATATTGTAATCCTCCCTGAATCCCAGTTTTTTCTGGGGGGAAACTGGGTAGGAAGCAAATTAGTAAATAGCTATTAATAAAGAACAGTTCAAACCTGAATGTACTGAAGATACTGTTCCACTGCAGTGCATTTGGGGATGCTGTAGCCTTTGTAAAAGGAAAAATCTTGACCAAACATGTTCTCACTAAACCATACTTTAGCAAATGTGTTAAGCAGCCTCTTGTCATAGTCATCTGTAACTCTTCCACCATACTGAATCTCCCCGATCATGTAACGAACAGTATTCCAAGACACCCCCTGAAGAAAGAAGATATGGCATCATTTCCTACAGTTAAGTATGCTAAAAAGTAACTCCTTATACCTCCCTCTCCATCTCTCCATCTCTCTCTCTCTCTCTCTTTGTTTGTCTATACACACACACACACACGTTCTATATTTAAAAAGCTAGTACTGAGATTTCTGAGAATAAGAGTTCTATATGTTGACATGAGAACACCTCTCCCTGGCTTATTTTGGGTGAAAATGGACCCTCAACAGAATTGGATCCCTTTCACAGTCCTGATCCCCACCTGCATCATTCTGATGTCCATCAGAAAAGTTGGTGAATGAGATGGAGAAAGCAGGTGGGGAGGAAGGTGAAATTTCTTAATTTCCCCCTCCCCTCCATCTCTTAAACATGATGAGCCTTTACTTTTAAAAAGTTTCCTATCTATATGTAGTTATAGGACAATGGCATGTTGTTGAAAAACATGGACTGTCCTATTACTTCAAGTATTGTACAGCAGTTAGACACTGTTTTCAGCAAACGGAGTGTCAAGTACCTTTTTAATGTCCATGTCATCCAGATGGTTCTGAACGAATTGTACTGTGGCATTAAAATCAGCTTGATTGAATTCATAAGGAATGTTCCATCCTAGAGGTCCAAATTTCCTTCTCTCCTGGACTGTGGAGTGTAAGAAAGCTACAGCATAGAGCATCGGTTTCCACTGTACCATGTTGCTGATATCCAAGAGATCCTGACTCACACCTGTCAAAAAGACACAGATCTATATTATTATGGACATGTGATGTTTTCCTACATCCTTAAAGGTTCCAAAGGAAAAATATTTCCATTTTTGTCTTCTAGAACAGGCTACCTGGTATCCTTTAAAAGTAAAAGGGATTCAGGCATAATTACCAAAATCTACTGAGCTTCATGCATGTGAGAAGTAGCTGTGAGGAGAACAAGTGTCTCACCTCCATAGGTTCTCTTTAGGCCAGCTCTGAGTCCTTGAGGAGGCTCATTGGTAAATTTAATAGACATTTGGAGAAGGGTAATGGGAAAGTGCTTATGAACCTCTGTAGTCATCCACAATCGAAAAGCTTCATGAATAGTTTCTGTTTCCACAACGGTGTCCATCAGTTCATCCATAAAGTCAAGGCCGAGGTGGCAGTTCTGAAGAAGAGCCCATCCACCCTAAGGAAAGGAAATCATGGAAGAAACATGGCTAGATCCTATTGCCTTGGAAGTCAACATAATCCCAAGCATCTGTATCATTCTTATGACATTGCACATTCCTACAGGACTGGCACAGTATGTTCTGTGAAAGTGTAACTATTGGTTTCTGACCAGCTCAAAATGGCTCTAGAATGGGACCAATGGGACTCAGATTCAAACCTCCTCCGCCCCCTCCTCCCATTCTAGATAGATGCATACCACCTTGGCAAAGATGATTGGAAGCAAAGCACGGTTACACTCAGTGGATCACAGATCCACAACACTCCTCCCTTTAGAGAAGGGCTGTGTTGTGTAGTTTTTACTATTTGTTCACTGTCCCACAGAGTAAGATTGGCCTCTTTCCCACAAAGGGATAATCGTGTAATATTGTTCTTAATACTGGGCAGAATTGTTTGGTTTACCGGAATGAGAAAGGAGGAGGTAGTTGGAAGAGATGTTATCTCACTGGCCAACCACAAAGAATGAGAAAAGATAAGGAAGGGGGGAGATCGAAAGGAAAGGAACACCCACAGACACAGATCTTCACATCGTCCCTGGGAAGACAACCCATACATAGAAACAAAGTGCTATCATTGTACACATAGGAGAATGATGACAAATATCTCAACATAGGTTTGTATGCAAGATTTTTCTGCCATTTGAAAAATGTCTGGAAACCATGAGAAATGACAGAGGGAGACAAAGACAAGATGTGTGTTGTTTGTATGCCCAGAACTAATCTCTAAACAACTGGTTGATACAGCACTGCAGGGCACAATGAAACACCCACCTGGCTTCCACCTGTACTATTCCTTTTTTCATTGGTGGCAGTGAGTCATACCTATAGATCTATCCTTGGGATGGAAATAGACCTTACAGAAAGCATGTAAGCGAAAGCAGCAATCCCATGTAATTTCCCCTCCTCTTTCCTATAGCACCTATTTGGTGTCACTTCCTTGCCACAGTTCACTAGCTGCCATTGGAGGAGACAGACATTCCAAAAACATCAACATCATGCCAGATGTTTAAGGTTCCAATCCTAAACCCACTAATCAGGGTGTGAGCTTGTTATATGCATTAGAGCAAGCTCCTGAGTAACATGGGGTTGCACCCCAAATTCACTAGGAATTACAGGATAAGGACATGTGAGCACGTGACTCCAGTGACAGCCACAAAATGTTCTACCGTTAACATCTTTCCCATCAGAAATAATTGTATTTTATTCTTCTAGATCACTCAGTGATAGGGACGTGGTGGCGCTGTGGGCTAAACCGCAGAAGCCTGTGCTGCAGGGTCAGAAGACCAAGCAGTTGTAAGATCGAATCCACGCGACGGAGTGAGCGCCTGTCGCTTGTCCCTGAGTTCTACTGTTAACATCTTTCCAAACAGAAATAATTGTATTTTGTTCTTCTAGATCACTCAGTGAGTTAGGAATCAGACTGAGGAGTCAAAAGTTGAGAATTCAATACCCCACTGTGCCTCCTGCAAGTACAGCCAGCCTGTGTGGCCTTGGGCAAGCTGCACAGTCCCAAGGGACCTGCAGCAGAAGTGAACCGTAAATTGCTCGTGAGTATTCTCTTCCTGGAAAACCCTGAAAACGGTGGCCATAAGTCAGAAATGAGTTGATGGCACATGACTATTATATTATCTTTGTTAGACAAAAAGTAAGAACTGGTTCTGCAGGCTTGAAGAGCGGGATGAGCGCCGCCCCCTAGGGTCGGACACGACTGGACAAAAATTGTCAAGGGGAACCTTTACCTTTACCTTTAGATCACTCAGTGAGTTAGGTATCAGACTGAGGAGTCAAAAGTTAGGAATTCAATACCCCAATACTGTGCCTCCTGCAAGTAGAGCCAGCTTGTGTGGCCTTGGGCAAGCTGCACAGTCCCAAGGGACCTGCAGCAGAAGTGAACCGTAAATTGCTCATGAGTATTCTCTTCCTGGAAAACCCTGGAAAGGGTGGCCATAAGTCAGAAATGAGTTGATGGCACATGATTATTATATTATCATTAGACAAAAAGTAAGAACTGGTTCTGCAGAGATCAGCAATCAATAATAGCATTTCTTGCCAAGCCTAGCCTATGTTAGTGACTGATAACGTTCTGAAAAAATTACAACATTGAGATGCTCTACCACTGAATTGTGATTTTGCCTTACATGTGCCATAGTTTGCTGCAGAAGTTTGCGTGCATGGACTTCCTGCCCTTGACCCATGGAAACATAACGGGTCTCAATTTTCAGCCGTTTCCCTAAAGCAATGATAGAATCAGTAGGATCAGACCCCATGGAAAGGAAGCAGATAAGAGGTGTCCGTGGATCCGATTCCTCCCAAGTCTTCTCCAAATCCAGGATGACCCCTTCTACATATTTTTCTCCCATGGTATCCATAATGTACTTCCTAGCCTAGTGAGAAAGAAAGAGAGATGAGCACAAGGTTTTCCACATTTATTTGACAAGATAACATACACAGGGATTATTGGGAATGCATTTTAGGAAAATGTCAAAACCCAAAGAGAGAATCCAGATGATAATTCTTCTTTGGATGTTGAACGCTTTAGCGAGTATTTTCCATTTATAGAGAACACAAATAGCAAAATTCCTTATTTCATTACACAATCACATAACAGCAATTACACAAGCAGCAGGAGAGAATTTGTCAGTTGCTGCAACCCTATAGTTGTCTAGTAGTGCAATATGGCATACAATCAGACACATACCGTGTATAAAACACCCCCATGTATAAGATGCCCACCACTTTTCTAACCCAAAATTAAGAAACAAATATTTTAAACATAAAACAGAACACATTTTTATTTAGTAATTAGGTAACATTTACATACCGATACTGTCATATTATGCATCACACTTTGACTTTATTCAGCCTCTGGGCTCAGAACACTTCTGAGCACTGCCTACATGCTCCACCTCCAACGAGGTGTGTTCCAATTGGTTTGATCAGCATTAGCTGATGTCAGTTACATACGGCTCCTGATTAGAGGCAGCTAAGTCTCATGTTTGAAGGAAGTCTGTTTGCAAAGGGCAAGGTATGGGCCATTTTGTTCTCTCCTCAGCTTACTTCCATGTATAAGACGACTCTCAATTTTTAGTCTAACGATTTTGGGGGAAAGTAGCATACATGGAAAAATACAGTAACTAACAGCTGGCCAATTGTGAAAACTGCACCATTACATGGGTGGTATTTTGCAATAGGATTTTGCCCACTGATTAATTGACTTTCTTGATACAAATTACTTCAGGTAGGTTAATTAAAGAAGAAAACAGGATTAAGGACTCTTGGTATTCTTTTGCTAGAAACCATCAAAGCAAAGATCTACACATTAGATTAGAAGTATATTTAGACTGTATCTGTCACCTAGTGATGTTTTACTTGCACCCATGTCTGCCAAACATACAGCCTACCTGAGCTATAGTTCTATCAGGACACCAAGATCTTATGAGAAGGAGGCGTCTAAAACAATCCAATGCTTGGTCATAACCACTGGGAACAAGTTCTTCTTCAGGTTTCTCCCTATCAAACCAAATCTTCCACTGTTTCTCTGTCCGTGAGATCTGTTAGCACAATGGGGAACATGTTCATTACATTGCACATATAGCAGGACTCTTTAGTTACACATAATTTAATGGCACTCCAGCTACATTCCTTTCTATAAGAGCTTTGTTCTTCAAACTCTGATAAATTCTTCAAGCACTGACAACTTCTTAGCTTGATTACCATAAAGTACTTGTTATACCATTATTCCTCTATAGATGAAGAGATGTCCTCCATATTAATAGAAACCATTGTCATTTGTGATCCTAAAAGGGACTATTGGGCTATTTGCTCATCAGCAAGTTTATAGTGCAACGCTTATGGAAATGAAGGATTGGCCAGCTGCACCTCACTGCCCAGGGGATATCTGAGTGTACTCACAACGCTTTTCCACTCTTCAAGATGGCTCCATCTGTGTCCACAAATTTTCTGTGACTGTGGAGGAATTCAGTCAATGCAGCACTTACGTGCATGCAATTCATGCCTTACCACATGTGTCATGGTTTAGGTTATTGGGGCTAAAATGTAATTTCTGAATGGGATATGTAGTTGTGAACAATGTAAAATGGATTCCATAATGGTTCTCTGTATAAATGACTTTGCATGCTGGGAGTGTATTTCCAGAGGCTGTGGGAATGTTTTTCCTTTAGGCCAGGATGAGCCACACCTGCATGCAATTCATGCCTTACCACATGTATCATGGTTTAGGTTATTGGGGCTAAAATGTAATTTCTGAATGGGATATGTAGTTGTGAACAATGTAAAATGGATTCCATAATGGTTCTCTGTATAAATGACTTTGCATGCTGGGAGTGTATTTCCAGAGGCTGTGGGAATGTTTTTCCTTTAGGCCAGGATGAGCCACTACAAGATAAGAAGACCAGACACTTGTGGCGGAGAAGGAGATGGACTGAGAAAAGCAACACCTGTTTCTGATGAGAAGAGAAGGAGGGACTGTTTCCATGACCTCATGCCGTGACTGGATGACAGCTTGAGAGACAGAGGAGAAGGGTGGTTCCAAGAATCTTGAAAAAGGAACTTTTACTATGTGCAGAGATTCTTTCTTTTGTTCTACAATTTTTGGACTACATTTTTCCATCATAGTTTTTCTAGGTCTGTTTTCTTGCTGCTCAGTGCAGGTAAAAGACTGAGGGAGATGTAGGGAGACCAGGAAGAAAAAGAAGGGGGGCTTTATGCCTCTTGCCTACCCTAGGAAAGCTTATAGAGATTTTTAGGGATTTTTAGTGCTATTGAAATTAAAGAGAATTATTGCTTCATTTCTATTTTGTAACAAGCCTTGAAAGTTGTAATATGCTTTGCTTTTGCATCAAACTGAATTTATTCTGTAAATCTATATTTTTTCAATAAAATAATAATTATAAAATCTTTTGGTCTCTTGAACAGTGTAGCTGTCTTAGCAATACCCTGAAGGGGAAGCAAGGCCACATTAAGCTACAGAGGCCTATCTTATTGAGCCAAGTGGGTCTAAGGACTACAAAGCCCATATGTAATTTCTTCTTATTTTTTCTTAAGGTTGAGCAAGTATCTTTTTAGGGCAGACATGTAAGAAGTTTGTTGCATGCCTTAGCTGAGGTCACCCAGGACTCTACCCAGCTACATGAGGATGCACAGGCTTCCAATTACTCTCTGTCCGACTGGTCAAGCACTCTTCTAGAGGAGGCTGATTGTGACAAAGGAAGATATAGCAAATGGCCAAGAAAACGCTATTGAAGTATCCCACTTCTAATCAAGAATAGTCTAATTATCTTTACATTTGATTTTAGCCTATATTTCATATATATCCATAATTTCAAATTCTGTAATGCTCCAATATGAATGAAGAAAGATACCATTATTACCCATGACATCAAATGAGGAAATTTCACTTTGCTCCAGAAGATGACAGCATTATTTCAGGCAAAAAAGGACTACCTTGGTCAAACCTTGCAGAGCATATTTCTTCAACGCTGCAAGAGCTTCACCGAGCACCAGGTCATTTCTGAGTTGAGTGCAAGATGTTGGTTTAATCTTTTAAAGATATTTTCACCCAGGGCCTGGGATATTTAAAAGATTGTCTTATCCCAAATATTAATGTTTCAGTACTTGCTATCACTATCACAAGTAATATTAACAAAATAGAGTCCAGTGATAGAATCACAGTTGTGAAATGCCTTGCTATTTAAACATGGTCCATCAGAATCAGAAATCTTTTTTTTAATCATCTGTTCAGCATGTAGATTTGGCCTTACAAGTGACTTACACTTTATCTGCCAATCCCCCCAAAAAATACATTGAAGCAGGTCCGCATGAACAATTGTTTTAAAATACAAAAAGGACTGGCATTAAAATAGGGTAGAATCAAATTAGAAGAAATAAATACGGCATACTGCTCGATCTTTCATCCTTGTCAACTACGTACTTGGTCAAGAACATCTGAGAATTGTCTGAGTTTACTGAGCTCCACCAAGTTTAGCCAGGTCATATCCAAGATCCATTTTGCTGGTTTAGGGGGACATGCCTTCAGATCCAAAGAAGCACCACCTAGAAAGAGAAAAAATGGTTGCAAGGGGTTGTTAAAGCTTACCAAAGTATTAGATATTTTATTTAAAATATGGGGACAAGTCAAGTTATTCTGCCAACTCCCCATAGTGCAGCTGCCGATCATTCTCAGGGCCTATCATTCATATTTCCCAAGTGAGCTCCACCACAGAATTAAAGTGAACAGGTTCTGCAGGCAGGGATTACATAGGTGTGCAGACCAAGCCCAACATGCCATAAACTAAGAGGGAGCAGAATGGATAGAGGATACTGTGTGAGGCAAGGCAGGCTGGCATCCTCCATGTCCTCAGCTCCCTAAACAAGGTGGATGTTTGCACTGAAGTAAAATGTTAATCAAACAAGCACTGCATTCTATGTCCTGGCTACGACCTTTAATCAGCGTCAGGAACTCCTCATGCTTCACTCTGCCTCGCTGCAAGTCAATCTTCAAGGTAAGCAGTAACGTAAACAGGAACTTGTGCTCCTCATACAGCCCTCGTGCAGCATACTTATACACTTCATAGGTCATATGCTCAATGATATTTGCTATTCTCTTGCTTGTAATTGGGCTCTTGACAGACCTGTTCAAAAGAGAAGGGGAACGGAGAGTAAATGAAAGGTTAATCAAATATGTCTTTGGGGTGAAGGTCTCTTCCTGTGGAAAAAAAAAAGGAAAGTATTGTCAAAGCTGCACTTAATAATCCTAAACCAGCACAGAAGCAACCAGGGTTGCCAAAGACCAAATCAACATGACAGTAAATACTGTTCAGTCAATATGATCCAGCAAAGCTCTTAGCAAGCTAGACCTGTTTGAACTGCTGGAGGTTAAGCCACCTTGTTAAAGGATGGAAAAGCACAATGTTTTGAGCTTCATTCAGTTGGTCCCCTTGCTCTTCATACCTACCTGGCCTTTATTATCTCTATTTTTGTAAAACTTTGGAACAATTGAGAAGCTTCTCAAGGCAGTTTTGTAGTTATGCAAACACACAAACAAAAACACAATGTTTTATGGCCATTACAGAATATAATAGTTTAAGGTGAAATAACTATCAAAAAGAGAAAGATGTGCAAAATAGCATTTTTTTCCCATGGCAAGGGAGGAAGAAAGCCAAAACTCGGTGCTTGTGGGTTGAGTCCCACATCTCCATTTAAAGAGCTGGAAGTTCTGTAGAACTATGCCCAGTAAAAGAGGACAGGCTGGCTACATGGACCAGTTGTCGGGCTCAGTTTTTTAAGTGTGTATGTGAAATTAGACAGGACAGGGCAGAACATATAATGCAGAATCCTTTTTTCTTTTTTTTTCCTTCTGAAATTTGGATCGTATCATGGCTATTCTGACATTGGATGCAGCAGGTCTAAACAAGGATGTTATTTTTCATCCAAACAAATCTAAAGGAAATCAGCCCGGTCCAGAAACCAATTGTATAATTCATTAACAACTGTGCTGGATGAACAAGTCATTATAAAAGGAAAATATAAACTGAAATATTAAAGATCTCTTTCCCATTACTCATACCTTTTCCCTTGCTACTGAGCTCCCTTGCTACGTATATAGTTAAGTTGAAATAGCCTCCTCTACCTTATTTCTGTCAGTTCCTTCCAATTCAGTTAGAAACACACTCCCTAAGGTGGGAAAGGGGCAAAGGTTCAGCAATGCATACACATATCAATGTGTATATGAAGTCAAAACACTTTTGCCTGCCGTTCAGTTGTGCTGTTATTCAATAGCAAGAACTGCCTCTTCCTGTCTTATAGTTAAGTTGAAAGAGCCTCCTCTACCTTATTTCTGTCAGTTCCTTCCAATTCAGTTAGAAACACACTCCCTAAGGTGGGAAAGGGGCAAAGGTTCAGCAATGCATACACATATCAATGTGTATATGAAGTCAAAACACTTTTGCCTGCCGTTCAGTTGTGCTGTTATTCAATAGCAAGAACTGCCTCTTCCTGTCTTTCCCCTGCCAGGCAAGTCACCTCTGACTAACTAGTTCCTCCCAATTCCTCTGAATGATGGCTTAGATATTCAATCTGTGACAAACAGGCCTAGACATATTACAAAATGCAAGCTCTGTCTTCTGTACTTACGTTGTCTGCAAGCGTTTTTGTATTTTCTGTATGAATTTGCATTTCCTTTCAGTGGGATCTTCTTTGCTCACAAGAACCAAAGAAGATCCCACACTGGATCCGGCTAAAGATCTATCTAATGCAACATTCAGCTCACTCAGTGGTTAATCGGTTGCTTCTGGAAAGTTCACTAGCAGGACACGAATACATTAACAACCTCCCACTCATATCCTGGAAAACGAATAGAAGCATATTGTCACTGATACTGATGGTGATGCACAACTGTCCTGCCTAGTAACTATGGCAGGCCCTAACCTCATTTCTCTCATCCCATTTTAAAAGACTTCTCTTTGCCTACCCCACCCCCAACCCAATAGGTAGGAGACAAAAACTAAGGATATACGGATGGGTGAGAAATCATAGCAGTGGTAAAGAGAAGATTATTTAAAATACTGTGATTGTTGCTAGACCTAGTATGTCCCCCTCGGTAGCCTTGGGGCACTGAGCTTAAGCACACTAGCCTTGCCACCATTCCTGAGAATGACAGGTTACCCACACCCTCGGTGACTAAAAAGCTGTCTTACCCAGAGGCAGGGTGTCACGCCACGGTAGAGGCTAAAACAGCATGTCCAAAGGCTGCATCAAACTTCTGCTGGAGATCAAGTGTATAATGGTGGATGAAAGTGGACAGCTGTGCCCAGGTGGCACAGGAGCAGATGTCTGGAAGAGGTACACCATGCAGGAATGCCGTAGAGGTCGCCACTGCTCTGGTGGAGTGAGGGCCAATCACCTTCAGGACTGGTTTGTGTGCCAGCTGATATGCGAGGTGAATGGTTGAAGCAACCCATCTAGATATAGCTTGATACGTCACCTGCCGACCTTTAGTAAGTGGTTGGTGACTTATGAAAAGTCGAGGTAAATGCCTGAGAGGTTGGGCGCTTTGGACATAAAAGGCAAGGGCTCGCCTAACGTCTAAAGTATGGAGGATTCTTTCTTGAGTTGTGGACGGTGATGGGAAGAAGGAAGGAAGGATAAACCACTGAGAGAGATGCAACCGAGATACGACTTTGGGGACGAAAGAAATATCCACGGATAGTCTGACTCTGTCTGGAAAAAATGTAAATAAGGATAGTTGTGACGTAAGGCTGCTAACTCGCTAGCTCATCGAGCTGAGGTGATGGTGATGAGGAAAACTGTTTTAAAGGTAAGTAGCCGTAAATCAGTTGAAGCTAAAAGTTTGAAAGGAGCTTTAGTAAGTTGTTGCAGTACTAGTGTCAGTGACCATTGCGGGGAAGGCGGTGAGATAGACCTTTAAGAAAACATTTCAGTGTTGGATGCTTGAAGAAATCAGCTGCTGGAGAGTTAGGGGGCTGATAAAAAACTATGGCGGAGAGGTAAACTCTCAAGGAAGAGAGGGAAAGGCCACTAGACTTGAGATGAAGCAAAAAACGTAGAACAGTAGCAAGTGATGGGTTGATAGAAGGTAATGAAGAAGCGTCAGTGAAAGATTTGAATCTGTTCCATTTATACAGGTAGAGGGCTTCTCCACCCATGGAAAACATCACCACTGAAGTTGGGAGGCAAGTTCTGGGGTGACTCTTAAGAGAATGTGAGGAAGGTCTGCGAGCGGGTCGAAGAGGGCAAGAAACCACAGCTGAAGAAATCTCATCTTGAAGCGTATGTGCTGCACTACTGAAGTGATAAAGGCCATGGTGCCTAGTACATGTTGCACAGTCAAGGCAGTAGCATAACATGAGGGGGTGTACTTGAAGTAATTACCATAACATGAGGGGGTGTACTTGAAGTAATGTGATGAGATTTTCTCTCTTGTCTGGAGGAAGAAAGGTGCGAGATTGTGTGGAATCTATGCATGTGCCTACATAATGAATAATCTTTGTAGGTTTCAAATTTGATTTTTGTTCATTGACAGCGAGACCGAGATCATGAAGGAGGGTAAGGGCCTTGTGAAGGGAGTGACCTACGAGGAGCTAATCATCGATACATGGAAATATGAGAATTTTTTGCAAACTGAGGTAAGCAACTACCAGTGCCATGCACTTGGTGAATACTCTTGGAGCTGTTGCAAGGCCGAAAGGAAGCCTTTTGAATTGGTAGGCTTGTGATCCAAGCTGAAATTGAAGGAATTTTCTGTGTAAAAATGTATGGAAATACGGAAGAATGTGTCTTTGAGATCTACGACAATGAACCAGTCGTTTTCATAGAGTAAAGGGAGAAGTGATTCGAGAGTAACCATATGGAATTTTGTGGTAATGATGTATTTGTTTAACTCTTGTAGGTCTAAGACAGGGTGAAGACCTCCATCCTTTTTGGGTACAGTGAGATAGCAAGAGAAGAACCCTTTGTTGTGTTGTGAGATGGGTTGTATGGTGTCTTTGAGGAGTAGAGGCCGAGCGAAGGAGAAAGGAAAAAAATTTCTGATGATAATTAATTTGATCTAAAAGTTTAAAGGAAAAAAAGATTGATAACAGGAAAGAATCAAGAAAAAACTCTCTTTCTCTTTTACTCACAGAAGCGGAGCTATGAGGCTGTCAACACAGCTGTTGAAAAAAACTGAAAGGGTAGCCTTGGTGCCAAGGTACTTATATGAGGGGGAGGGGTCTTATTCTAATGTGTTTTTTGCTACCACGGAAGCTCTAGAATTTTCCGATGAGGCTCCGCGCAGGCGCAGATCACCCAGGGTGTGATTCACAGAGGCCACAAAGAAGAACAAAGGAAACCAAGGGAATCCAGGAAATCTCAGATAAGATATAATGATCAAGAACCCCAAGCTGGTCCTTTCCATTATTTTTTTAAAAGTTATTTCAACCTTTGTCCTCCTTTTTTCCTCCATTTTCTTCTTTTCCTTTCCATTGTATTTCTCAGGGTCAAGTTAGACATTTTGAACAGTTAAAAGTAGACTAGCATTCAAGAAGTTCTGGTAGAGCTTCATGCCTGAACAATTGTACTGACAAACAAAGCCCGTGTCTAGCTCCTGAAAGCCAATCACTGAACAAAGTACATTAATTTGTAAGCTAGAGGCAATGAGCTGCCTTGTCCTTCAGTATCTGCGCAGAACGTACACTTTATTTGTATTTAATAACAACAGAGCAGCAGCAGCAGCAACAGAATATAATAATGAAATCATTTGGTTGCCCTGCTCATTTAAAGGCAGAGAGGGATAAGGAGAAATAAGGAAATGTGCATTCAAAGAAACCTACTAATCTAGATAAGAGTGCTGTAGCGGCTCGAATTCAGCTACTGTGGATCAAAGTGTGAGCATCTATTTGTTTGTTTGTTTGTTTTGTTCTACTGTAATCTCCAGTTAGGCTGATTTGGTAGGTGTTGGAAGGGTGCTAATGCTCTGAAAACATGCAGAACCTGTCTGGTAAGTCAGAACTGTGGAGCAAAAGAAATAAGTTTCCAGGCTATGATACAGGATGACTCTATCACTCCTCTCCAGTTATTTGAAAACTGTCTACTTGATAATCCAATCTTCACGATGTGAAAGACCGCACTTAATCAAAATTACCTGGCAAGTGAAAGATCAAAGAGTCCCAAGAACTGTCGAAGTGAGGTTTGATACATGACATTCACCATGCTCATCTCAGTTATCAGGAAATAGAGAATGCTGCCTCTTGTTGCAACTGGGGGAAAAAGAAGAAGACCGGATCTGATCAATCCAGGATATACAACAAAAGCATTCTGTTGAGAAAAAGTACTTACGTAGAAGTCTGCATGCTGATGATCACAATAATTTATCTCATGATAAACATCCAAAGTTCTATTTTTAATAATAAATGTCACCACCTGCTCAATTTTTAAAATAATATTTAAATTTTACTTTTTAAAACTAGACATTCTTTCTTTTGATGATGTTAACACAATAATAGAATTATAGAATAAGGAAGTTGGAAGGAGCCTATAAGGCCATCAAGTCCAACCCCCTGCTCAAAACAAATCAAAGGATATCTTCCAGGGAGTGGTCTAAATTTCTCTTGAATGCCTCCAGTGTTGGAGCACTCACCACCTCTTGAGATAATTGGTTCCACTGTCTTACTGCTCTAACAGTTAGGAAGTTTTTCCTGATATTCATCCAAAATCTGCCTTCCTGTAACTTGAGCCCATTGTTGCATGTCCTGCACTCTGGGATGATTGAGAACAGATCCTGCCCCTCCTCTGTATGACAGGCCTTCCAAGTGTTATCGTATCACCCCTCAGTCTTCTTTTCTCAAGGTTAAACATGCCCAATTGTTTCAGTCTTGCATATGCCTTATAAAAAACAGTAGTGTGAGCTCAGGTGGCTTCCCTTGTTTGTTGATGCTCCGTAGGTGGAATTTTACAAATACTGATTGATTGATTGATTGATTGATTGATTGATTGATTGATTGATTGATTGATTGATTGATTGATTGATTGATTGATTAGCCGCACCATTACCAGTGGCTTCTGGGCGGCATACAACAAATATACCAATAGATCAGGATGTCATACAAAAATATCATTGCATCATAGTGATGGTTTAGAATCCAGAATGGCACTGGATTTTTGAAACCAACACCGGTGTAAATTATTTTTGACCTGATTCAGACCCCTGTCAACTTTGGGAATCCCTTTCAGCCTGCAGCAATTCACAGAAGCCCTTCCCAATGTTCCTTTTCACCTCATGAGAAACTATGGAAAATGGGTATGAGAGTGGGATTGTACAATGAGCTGCTAAGAATCTCTGCAGATTAAGTTGTAGTTCTAATCTGCAGGAAATCCCTCTATCCTAATCAGTTATAGTTAACATTATTGTCCAGCAGTCATTCTGCAAAATAAATTCACTTCTTTGAATGATTTTTGAGTACGTTGGTGTCAAAGCATGCATGGGTGATGCACCTTAACAGAAATCTCACAAAGCATATAAATGTTACAGATGTATATAATTTAAAAAAACTGTTGCAAAGCAGAGATGGGAATAAATATAATTTTAAAAACACACTTTTAAATAGGAAATTCAGTGAAAAAATGGAAGTAGTGGATTGATGGGGAGAAGGTTTCCTGACAACATCAATTGATCATATGGACAAAGTGAAACTGGGCCAAATCCAACTGACTGTGTTCATTGCCATGACAAGCCACGTTGTGGTTTGCTGAAATTGGCTTGTTGCGATGTTCAAACCTTTTTCTGCTAATGAACTTTGGTTTGCTGACTACTTTGAAATAGATCAGCTTATATCATTGTCCATGAGTGCAGGTAGTCAACCAAGAAGTCAGATGGGAGGCCATTCCTGCCAGAAGCCTTTCCTCTTTTTCATATTTTAAAGAACATTTCTAGCTCTTCACAAGCAAGCAGGGCCCAGCAAGCTGCCACTGAATCTTCCACTTGCAGAAGCAGCACACACAAGCTGTCTTATCATAGAAGAAAGAGCAAGAATTTAGCTCCCATTCATGAGTAGAGATAAAATGGTCAGTATAGATTTCACCAGTACATCCTGAGGCTGAAATGAAAAGCTAGAATTTAGATTTATCTTTGTTTCTGAGTGCTAGCACCAGTCTGAACCATTTCAATGTGGCTTATTCTAGCTTCGTTTATTAGATTACTTTCTTATAAGATTTGTGCAGTGCCAAAAAGGACAGGGTAAAGGAACTATGCTGTTATCCCTTTTTAAAAATTATGTTATCTTAACTTCATTTTAAGCTGCCTACAGTCCTTGTTAAACCAAGGATTACCCTCCCTTGGCCTGGGAAAAATTGATCAAGCTTCTCAAAATGACTAAGCAGCAATGCTCTTATAATCTGGGCATAGCAATCTAAAACAGTCCCATATCATTTGAAGTAGTCAAGGTGCTCCTCACAATATGTATTCTTTCAGATTGCCATAGACATTCGAAAATGGCTATGAATCACTTCTGCATGCTTATGACAGAGAGGTATTTCTTGTGGAGTTCATTTCATTCATTCCATTTCCATTTTATTATTTCTTTAAAAAAAAAACCTTTCTCCCACAGAGGACCAAAAGTGGCTTGCAATATTAAAACAAACAAGATCAAAAGCTAAAAATACAATAACCTGACCTAAAGTCATAGTTCCTTGACTTCTCCAGACCTCACCCAGACATTCCAAATGAACAATAAAAGATTGGTGACCACTCTAAATAACATGGTCATATCAACAATAGATGGGGTGACTTTGATATTATTAAATACACTGACACCCATGGGACTGATGGAAGTCAGTTTCCCTATCAGATCTTCCCACTGGAAGACATAAAGAGATCATTCTACAGAATCATTTGAATAAGAGTTTCTTATCTATCCATATTTATGGTGACAGCATGAGATTTCACCATAAATTTCTCCTTTCTTACAGTTCTGGAAAGTCATCCAAAGGCAAGTGTGTATTCCAAGTTTGGGCTTAAAATGGATATTATAATCAAATGGGAAATCAGAAACTAGAGCAAGTAAATACGCCAAAAAGTTATCCAACACATTCTCATAATAATAAGTAGAGTTCTGAAACCATATTGACGTTTACCACAATTACACCTGAAGACAACTGCCTAGATTTTTGATTGCCCATAAACTGATTTTCCCCTTTCACCAAGAAAGCTAGGGTAGACCACCCCAAGGGCACCTCATCATCGAGAAGGATTTGCAAGACGATGCACATTTTAGAATCATTCAAGAAAACATTCTCAGTGGACTATATCTTCTGGGGGAGGGGATTAAAGGATTTGAAGTACATCTTAAATAAATTATGGAGCATTTTGTTAGACCAACAAAAAATGTTCCAAGACACTTCTCACATTGCATTCCCCAAGTTCCTTCATTATGAGAAAGAGCCATTCCACATTGTTTATCCCATCAAAGGATCTTGAACAATCTGATCAATCAGGGGATCCAAACACATCATTTATTTGTGCACAGGTTCAACGCCTGAGCAGAAACGTCATCCTGGCAAGCCCTAAGTATTGAAGCCAGTTTGAAGTTTATATCAGCCATCACTTTTTCTGGCTGTTTTTACCCTAAGGATTGAAGCCAGTTTGAAGTTTATACTGTATCAGCCATCACTTTTTCTGGCTGTTTTTTGTTTAAACTGAAAGCTGTCAAGATTTGCTTAATCATGCTATCAATTAAAGAATTGCCAGAAAGATATAAAGAGGAATCTTGTTTGGATAGCAGAAACAGCCACTTACATTGGCCTATAGCTTATTCTTTGGAAGACTGTGTGTGTGTTCCTTTGTCATGAAACAAATATGAGAAACAGGAAACATGGACATTTATTAATTCAGTTTGTGATTAGAGGCTTGATCTGAGACAAATGGCTGGAATCTCTGGGAAAAGGAATAGGCATTTGAAAGCAGCTGGCCAAATATCAAAGGTTATAGCCTAAAAGATCTGAGTAGAGAAGGCTCAAAGAAGGAGGTTTGAAATGCGGGAAACAGCCTAGAGTAAGGCAATTTCCTGACCTGAGGGCACAAGTAATCTAAGCAGAGAGGAAGGTTTCTTCCAGGAGAGCAATCCATTACCTTGTTTTGTCAGAAGATAGTACTTCAAAGGGATTAACCCTCATTGAGGCTTGTGGCTGTAAACCTCACTCCTAACTCATCTCCAACAAAAAGGAAGTCTGAGGGATATTGTCTCTGGAGAAGAGGGGAAAGGAACAAAGTAGAGCTGTAGGAGCTAAGGAGAATCTTCCTTCCCCACTGCTAGGGAGTAGTGGCAGTGTACTTTGTAATAGCAAGAGAGCTAGCATTTCTTATTTTTCCAAGTGCAAACTTTTCTTACAATTTGTTCGGTCCAGTGCCTGTTTTATGTAACCTTTTCTCTTATTTTGTATTGGACTCCTTTGATTTTTCTTTTAAATATCTTCTTTTTAAAAATATACATAAAATCTTTCCATGCCCTGGTACAATTGTGGGTCTCAGAGGAAATCTCAGGTTTTATTTCCAGTCCCTTGCTTCTCAAGCCAAACTACTGACATATTGTAACCAGTTTTTAACCCAATAAAGATTGGGGGGAGGGGAGAGAAATGGCAGCCAGTAACAAATATTTAAAGTAAAATGCCTCATTTGGGAGTCTACTGGGATCTCTCCCCTGGCAACTTTCTAGAGACCCCTGCAATTCGAGGTAATAAAGTGCAGAAGGCAAAGAGGTCACTAGGGAAGGGCTCCAAAAGAGGAGAGTTTGTGACATTCCTACATTAGTAATTCTCAGTTCAGCTGCCTAGGAAGTCAGTGCAGTAGTAGGCATCCTTCAGTCTCAAGAGATTATGGTAATGTGCTCTGTATGGAAGACCTGGAACAGCATCTAGTGTGGCTGAGAAGGCCAATTCGAGAGTGACAATCCCTTCCACAATGAAGAAAAATCCAATCTGTCTCCTGTCCAGCTGCCTGATTTTGCTGCTCTTGGGGCTGCATCTTTGCCTCAGCCTGCTGGACAAGGGTCTCTTCAAATTGGGAGAGGCTTGCCTCCAGGCCGAACGGTCAGATGTCAAGGGTTCCCATCTGTTGAGGTCCATTCCTAAGGCCTTCAGATCCCACTTGCAGATATCCTTATATTGCAGCTCTGGTCTCCCTCTGGAGCGATTTCCCTGCACTAATTCTCCATATAGGAGATCTTTCGGAATCCAACCATCAGCCATTCTCACGACATGCCGAACCCAACATAGACATTGCTGTTTCAGTATTGTATACAAGCTAAAAATTCCAGCTCGTTCTAGGACTACTCTGTTTGGAACTTTGTCCTGCCAGGTGATACCAAAAATGCATAGGAGACAATGCATATGGAACATGTTCAGCTTCCTCTCCTGCCATGCACAAAGGGTCCAGGACTCACTGCAGTACAGGAGTGTGGTCAGGACACAGGCTTTATAGACCTGGATCTTGGTATATGGCATCACCTTATTATTAAGCCGTACTCTCTTTGTGAGTCTAGAGGACATGGTACATAGCTTCTTTGCCAATGCATATATCCAGCTTGACATCTAGGGAGAGAGTGTCAGAGATCATTGAGCCAAGGTACACAAAGTCATGAAGTCAGTGTGTGTTTGGATATTAAAGTATTCTAGTATCTACCAGGGATGTTGGCAAATCTTTGGATCCAAGCCTCAAGTTTGAGTTAAAGTCTTTGGTACCAAGTATCAAGCCCAAGTCCAAGGCTTCGACTCCAAGTCCCAAGTCCCAAATCGGAGTCCCTATTAAAAGCAAGATTTTTCCCCCAGAAAAAAGGAGGGGTAGGTAGGTTCCAAGTCACAAGTCCAGTGATGTGTTATTTTACATCTCTTTAAATAAGAGAAGGTGTGGGGAAATTGTACGCCTTTAAAATGTATATATATCTATGGCAGTAGCAAATGTATATTATAAATGTATATAAATGTATATATCTGTATGCTAGTAGCAGACATCATGCTAAAACTGCAAGGCTAACGTCCAGTAAGGATGATCATTAACCTGCTGTCTATTGTCTCTGGGTAATGTAGTTTAGAGAACATGGTACATAGCTTCTTTGCCAATGCATTTATCCAGCTTGACATCTAGGGAGAGAGTGTCAGAGATCATTGAGCCAAGGTACACAAAGTCATGAAGTCAGTGTGTGTTTGGATATTAAAGTATTCTAGTATCTACCAGGGATGTTGGCAAATCTTTGGATCCAAGCCTCAAGTTTGAGTTAAAGTCTTTGGTACCAAGTATCAAGCCCAAGTCCAAGGCTTCGACTCCAAGTCCCAAGTCCCAAATCGGAGTCCCTATTAAAAGCAAGATTTTTCCCCCAGAAAAAAAGGAGGGGTAGGTAGGTTCCAAGTCACAAGTCCAGTGATGTGTTATTTTACATCTCTTTAAATAAGAGAAGGTTGGGACAGAATGAGCAGTTTCAAGGTTTCTTGGATGAATACCTAAATTGACGAACATTTAAATATTAAAATAGCTTGTTCGAATTTTGCGCAGTTGTGGATTTTCCCTACCAATTTTAACAATGGGGATGTTTAAGCAGCTATCATCTGGAATTAAAACTAACCTCCGTTCTGAAATGTTTGGCTCTGTGACTTCTTCACAGTCCACAAAGCTCGAAGTCCTTGAATGCTACAGTTTAGGACAGGAGATACAATTTGAGATGTGCAAGCATAGCTTGTCTTCTTGATTGATTCTAATTTTTCGTTCCTAACTGAGCTGTATCATCCCATCACGTTGGTCCACACATCTAGCAAAAGGACCTAATTTTTCATTTTTATTTCTTTAAGCCTCAAAAATGTTTGTTAAAGTCTTCACAATTGACAGCATTTATCTGTCATGGCATCAGTAAATGAAATATTTGCTTCCTTAAGCCGGAGGCCTAAATCTTCCAGTCTCTTCTCATTCCTTCTATCCTGGATCCCTTCATTTCCTTACACCAGGTGGGTTGTCAAGACTGAATAACAATTTGAGGAAGATGACAAGGGAGCACTGGACAGCTTGAGGTGCTGGGCATAAATATATCAATTTTAGATTGTTTTGGTTTTGAGGAAGTTGGACACCCTGACAGATTTCTCGGTCTCTTCTTGCTACAAAGCCATAATGTTATATAATGTGTTATATTTTTAACTATATATCTCATTCAGCATGACTCCACAATTTCCTCAACTAATAAGGCTCCAGCAGTGTCTCCCATACAGCTGAGAGCAACTTAAGTAAAATGAGACTTATCATACATAGCCCTGCCAGAACAAAATTCCAGGTCATATTTAAACTTACAAATGATTTTAAATATTATGTTTAAAACTGAGGCTAAAGCAAAGTCTGAACAAAAGGCTGTCCATAAGACACACAGTGTAGACAGACAGGGCCTATAACACAAGGTTGAAATTACTTCAGGAGATCCTCCACAAATATGCTCCAGTGATTTACAGCGGTAAATTGACAGCGGATTGACAAGTTTATAAATAAGGGGAAAAACTTTTGGCTTTTGGCTATAATAAATAATATATAATCTTTAACTTTGCACAGTCTGCGTACAGCAGCTTGAAGTGTATAGATTTTAAAAAATACTACCGTGGAGCAAAAAGCGTTGTTCTCCCTCATGTGTGTTTGTGCCAGCAATTAATAGTCAAATAATCACTTGTGATTTTGATTAAAACTTTAAATAACATTTACTGCTTATAAACATCTGTAAAATATAATATAACCCATCGTGCTTATACATTTGGTATTTGTCAAATACAGTATGTTCTTGAGTTATTGATGGATATATTTTCTCTAGTACTTAAGTAACTCGCTTATCATTATATTATTACATTGTCAGCCCTATCTGGTCCTATCAAATACTGTTAGCTACATCTTTATTCCTGTCAGTCCTATCAGACGACTATTACATATTTTGGTCCCTGTCACATATTGGATCCTATCCACTATCTGGGTTACCTGTCTGTTTGTGTCCCTATCTTAGTTGAACCTATTACATGTTTGCACATATCCTTATCTTACTCTGACACATGTTTGTGCCTATGACATGGTTGTTCCTGTCTGATTACATGTTTAGCCCTGTCTGAGTTACAGATTGCGTGAGACCCTGCTTGACAAACTTCTGATACCTGCCTCATATAGCTGCCTGCCTGACTATGGACACATTCCGATTGGTCAGAATGTTATGATATGCAAATATAACATTCTGGTCTTTCATGGCAAACACATTTAAACACACAGGCATACATATGCATACTGCGGTGTATAATTACATGTACTGACAAAAATGTTCATGTTGCATTTGATTTGAAGTTTTCAGGGGATTTCTCTTTTCATTTCGAGCTCATTAGGCTATTTTCTGTATAAGTAGCAGGAGCTCTCATTCAATAGGTTATAGTAATATGTAACATTGGTCCAGCTGAGTACTAGTGAATAAGCTTTTGAACACCATTGTCTGAAACTTACTACAGACCTGTCATTCTCCCATAGGTTATACATGCTATATGAGAAACAAGGCACATATTCCTATAAGATGTATAATCCTCCTGTTTCATGGTTTCATTTCCTAATACTGCTCTCTCAGCTCCATCCAGTGAGTCAAGGTGGTCATTGGAACAAGATGTTCACATCCCATCATTAGGGACAACCAACTCACCTGGTCTATATTCCTCACGGGCTGAATTAATCTGTATTTCTGTCTCAGCTGAAATTTGCAGTTTCTGTGTCACCTCTTCCGCTGTCTTCTTTGTGTTGCTAAGTACAATGATGAGACTCTCATCTTCCACCAGAGAGCCTTGTGTGCTTGTCAGCCGATAAAGCAAGTTATCTTCCAGTTCTTTCATCTTTCTTTTGTTAGCCGTCACATCTTCCATAAGATCAGTTCGCTCTTTCTCCAGTTCCTGTTAAAATACAAAGCCATTTTTTCAGTGGAATCCATTGTTGGAAGCAGGCTCATTAATGTATACACTATACAGAATAACATATACAGTAAAGCAGAGAGGCTAACACACAACTGCTCTGATATTTTAGCTAATTCTTAAAACTGACTGACTTAACACAATGCCAGATTTATATATTTTTTAAAGGAACACATTTCTTATATCAGAAGGTTTACGTGTGCAATTGGCACGGCCTGTTTGAAACCTTGCAAGATAGACTGTGTACAACTCTGCAGCCATCCATTTAAAAAATGGGTGGTCTGGGTAATAAAAAGGGGAAATTAATGGCAAAAGGTGACCAGTGCAGTTGCTCAGAAGGTGGCATCCTGAAATGGCAGATGGATTAAACATCTGGATCTGCCATTTAGATGGTCACACTGCTTTCAGGCAGATGGGGTCCATTTATTCGAGTGTGGACAAGAGATATGGCTATGGAATATTAGCAAGGCCATAGTGGATTGGTTGCAGTCACAGTTCTCTGATGGAAGCTGAGCAGGGCCCAGCTCTTATGGGATTTTGGGTCATGGGAGTTGGATCTGGACAATATGAGGGCAGCATGCAGGACCCTGATTGCCTGGGATATTAATAGAATCTCCCTGTAGAGGGGGCTGGGGGCAGGGCCATGGTCTTGCCTAACTTAGGGGACCTTATTCCCCAGGGGCAGAGTCGTGGAATGGCCTAAGCCAGTGTGGTCTCCAGAAGATGGCCACTCCTGGTGGACCTTTAAGTGGTTGCTGAAGCACGCAATGGCTGGCATTCAGTCCTCTTAAGGCAATGGATCCAGTTCTCTGATGGGACTGCTGCTATAAACAATAAGGTTGTGGCCTTTCTCTCCAAACAAGTTGTATGCTATAATTTTTTTGTATGCAAGTCTATACAGCCCATGGACCTTTTCAGCAATATGCCTGCAATTTTGTATAGCTTTGCAGCCATCCATTCTCAGATTTGGTGGTCAGGGTAATAAAAAGGGGAACTGAAAATAATAATTGAAGATTGGAGCATGTTCACTGCAAAAATAAAAAATTAAAAGGCCTAAATGTCATGGGAGCTGTTCAGGAAGAAGTAATGCTAGGTATTGTTTCATATGTCACGTGCCTCCCAACTCCTTAACACACCCTATGGTACAAGAACACAAGAGAAACCAATGAAACCATTGAAACCAGTACCCCTCCCCTCACACAAACTATCTCAAATTATAAGCAGAACTCAAATATCCAAGTCAGGTTCTAGTTGGAGTTACATTTGGCGGCATTCCTAGTTCTAGCAGTACTTGAACACTGGGGAACAAATAGAAAATACCACAGCATGGAGCCTAACAAGACAGAGTGCAATGATAGCAATTAATTTTCCCCAGTGGCAACATTCCAGAGTTTTCTATGCTATGCTGAAAAGAACATTAATATAAACTGTTTATATGATGCTATATTTATGACTGATTAAAATACCCCAGTATATCCAAGTGTTGTACAGACAGGAATGATTAATTTCTCATTGTTAGCGCTACCCAAAAGTTAATTTGCATCTAATTCAAAAGTCGGTCTCACTGTGTAGAATGTGATTTGACCAAAACGAGCTAAATATGTATCTATATTTATATCCCCAAACCTCTTACTCCATAAAAGAAAGTCCTATGGCATGTACAATCTGTAGAAACAAAAAGAAGTGTAATTGGGGATTGTGAAAGTAATTTATAAGAATTATGAGTTTTCTTTGGACATGCCGTGATAAGAAATCTGAACATTAAAAATGCAAATATCTTTGAAGCAAAAAGGATGAAAAGGTAATCCAGAAAGAAATGAGGGAACATTTGCTCATTCCATTTGTTTTAATTAGTTTCCATTTCAAGATGAAAAGGTTGAAAAGAAAAGCTGTCTCTAGAATACAAACAGGTATAATTGTGACGTTCCACTACATGATTTAACACCTACAAGGTTACATCTCGCCAAATGTGGCGAATTTGGACAACAGCACCAATTTTCACATTTAATCCAGTCAATCATTTTTCTGCTACATTCCAAAGATAAATGCACTAACTATTCCTATTTTTACTGAAGTTGTGCTCACCAGCATATTATAACATACGCTACTAATTGAGACACTTAGGGAAAATATTAAAATTAGAAACGCAGATGCAAGCTCTTATGCAAATTTCCAAAAGTGAGGTGCTCTTTAGTAAAGCCTCAGAGAAGTACGGTTTCTGGTTGGATTGGCATTCTGATAATCAACTGCAAACATAGCAATCTGAACTGTTAATGGAAGTATTTAGAGATGACCCGGATTTGTGTAGTTTCATTCTTACATGCATTCAAAAAACAGCTTACAAACTGAATTATAGTGTCGCTTTTGTGGAGAAAAAAAACTGGTAACCAAAAGCCAGCATTCAGCGCAACATTGCATTTAACAGGCATATATTAAATTTGCAAATAGCAGCTGTTCAAGGCATTAAAAAGGTGACAACAGCCAGGGAGAAGGAGTTTCACTCTTTCTCCCCTACAGTGGTCCTGATGAAAATCTTTAAAGATGCTGTATTAGTGTCAATGTAAGATTTTCTTCTAAAGGACAATGGCAACTGGTTTGACTTTCATAATGACCACAGCAGAGAGAAAGGAGGTAAACATCCCCTTCTTTCCCCAACTAGAAAAACAATTATTGTGTCACACACTATCCCCAGCAGATGCCACTTCGTTTTTTAATATCCATACTAACTGCAAAGGTGCATTTAATGTCACACTCTAGGCCCCCCCCATCACGTGCAAAAACTGTAATTACAGTCAAATGCAATGGTCTGACATGAGCAGAACAGCCAAAGGCTCATTTGATTGTCAGTTCTGCACCTTAAAATCCACCACCCTCTCTTCATGTCCTCTGACATTTTCCCTGACTTTCTAGTTAGGGTAAGGATGGGCTCCTTGTTGCTTCCAGACATTCCTGGGCTGCAACTACCACGAGCCCTACCCAGCACAGTGTTGAAGGGTCATCATAGGAGTTGCAATCCAATAGTGTCTGTAAAATTGCAACCTGCCCATTAAGGGAAATCAAAGGTTGGTTTTACACACAAATTAACAAATTGTGTTTTCTCCTGCTCCTTAAACCAGAACAGGAAACCCACTTTAAACAACTAACCTGAATTTGTCCTAATCAAAGTGGACCCACTGAACCCACAGAAACCTGGTAAATTAACATTATGTAAATTCTATTGATTCTCATGACACAGGGCTGTAGTGCGTGGGAGAGGGAGGGGGAAGTCTCATTATATGAACGGAAATCCACTTACGCCAGTTTCCATGTTACCCAATGGGATTCACTCACTATAAGGCAGTTTCATATATTTGTGTTTAACATAAGAAATGTATAAAATATGAACACATGAACAGTATGTGGAAGAGGAGGAAAGAGAAGAAGCATGTATGAAATCCTGGCAATTTTACTGTGATATATGTATTTTAGCAGATTATTGTTTGGTGTGGGCTTCACTGTATGACAGGGACTGGAAAAGTTCATTCTTCTAACATAAAAGAATGAAAAATTGCCTGAGTAAACAGTTACAAAACAATTACAAATGATGGCTCCAGAACTATTACTGAATATTTTCCCACTCACCTGCTTTTCTGTTAGAATGACTCTCCCGAGAAGCTGATCCTCCAGACCTTTCATAGTGACAGTGAAATCAATGATAGAGGTGCGAGCACTAATCTCAGGGGTATATGCTGGATTTGGAAGTTTGGTGGTAATATAAAGCCTGAAGCCAGTCATTACATCCACTTCTTTATCCCCAACTTTCACCTAATTAACAAAAGCAATTGTAGAATTGGAAGATACATAAAAAGAAGCCTAGGGATCTACTGTCCTCCTTTAAACACCCCACTGGTCATTTACAGTAAAACAAATCTCCATTTTAATTTATTGAAATAAACCATTGTAACATCTCCAACAATTTCCATGTAAGTAACAACGTAACTCTGTCCAGAAAGAAATGTGTTTGTAAAACTTATTCAGTGAGATTCATCTTCGTTACAAATAGAAAAGGCCAGTTTGCTTCTCCTTCCATGTATTCTCTAATACAGGGGGGCCCAACCCACAGGCCCCAACCCAGTACCAGGCCATGGCCTTGGCAGAACCGGGCTGTAGAGACATATTGCAAGCCCCCGCAAGCCCCCCTGCACTCCCCCTCCATGGACACATGTACGACCCCTCTACATACACACACCAACACTCGCATACCCCGCCCATGGACGCACAGACACACCACGCAAATGCCTGAACAACGCCCCACCTCCCTGCCCACCTGTTGAACCAGTCCACGGATAGAAAAAAGTAGGGGAGCACTGCCTAATGGATTAATAAGCAAGCAGACAAACACAAAATATATGAACAAACATATGGATCCATTCCTCTTTCATTTTGTAAAGCCAATATTCTTAAAGCATAGAAATGACAACCAGCAATTTGGATTATATTGTACTGTGTGCTGCCCAAATTCTTCAGTGTAAAAAAAAGGAGAAAAGGCAGCTGGAATATTGTTGTAATTATTGGAGTTTTTGCAACCCCCACATGCTGCCTAGAGAAAGTGTATCTGGGAAGGACCTTTCTGGGCTGGGGCGACTGCCAATCTATCCAGCAGTAACCAATTGTTTCCTCCTGCCTCTGAATTCCAAGAGAGGCCCGCCTTTCTGCTCAATGCTGTTTTCCTACTTGAGGTCTGTTGCTGAAAGAAGTCACGTTTGTCAGTTTGCTGTTAAGAGTTTTTCAATTGTAAGCAATGAAACTTTTATTATTTCTCCTACTAATGTATCAGAGTGAGTTATCAAGACTACGTTTCAGTTAATGAGAAAATGTGTGGACCACTCGGGGAACTTGAAGCGATTCTGCTCTGTGAATCTGCATTTCTGTTGTGTCGTTAGAGGAATTTAACAAAAAAATTAAAAACACTGCAACTGTAATGCTATTTATGAAGAACGGAAGGATGACAAAAGTATGAGATATAGAGCATCCTGAGTAGGAAGCATCTGAGTACGTGACCAGGAAGCCTCTCACATTATCTTCCAAGACATCCCCTCCATTCCTGCAGAGCAGTGAAGAAGAAAAATGCACCATGAAAAATGGCACCAAACTGAGATAGAAAAATTCCAGGAAGAAAAGCATAGTAGCAAGAGAGTATTGAGCTATCTTCCCATTTAACAATCATTGGGTAGGAAAATATGATGCTCCACAGAGGATAGGCGAAACAGAATGATGGTCAACAGTACAGTAAATTTAAAGACCACTGTTGTAAACTATCCTCTTAAAAGTATAGGCTAAGTGCCTTGTTAAATCAATTCCAGAGTCAGGACTGTGATGGGGTATTGTGTTAACAGGATACAAGGTTCTTCAAAATGGGAACGTTGTACTTCTCTCACCTTGTAGGTAGAACCTGTTTTGATGAAGTTTCGTTCCAACACATTATCCAATGCAGGGTCCAGCTCTTCTCCAACATCTTCAATTAGCAAGGGCCTTCCAAGGGAAAGGCTATCTTCCAAGTGATTTCTGAAATACTTGTGATTTAGAGAGGTGATCTGAAAAGAGAACCATCTTACTTATATATTATGAGTGAGTCAGGCAGGGAAAAATGCTGAACCTTAATTGGACTTCAGCTTAGAAAAAAGAAATCTGGGGTGGGCCTATCAAAGAAGTGAAGGGTAAAGCCCATATTCTAATGCAGTGGTCCCCAACCCTGCCCCCCCAGATGTTCTTGGACCGCAACTCCCAGAAGCCTTCACCACCACCTCTGCTAGCAAGGATTTCTGGGAGTAGTAGTCCAAGAACATCTGGAGGCCCAAGGTTGGGGACCACTGCTCTAATGCAAACTTCCTAACCTGAGCTGGCAAGTGGGGAGATGAACATGTATAGCAGATTTGAAAAAAATCACATCTAGTTTTGTCCTCAGTTTCATACTAATTCTACGTTATATGCAGAAAGGGAGTTAGCCCAGTGGTTCTCAGTCTTGGGTCCCCAGATGTTCTTGGACTACAACTCCTAGAAATCCAAGGTTGGGAACTACTGGCTTAGTATATATTCAACTTTAAATCCCAGTATTGCCAGTTCCCAAGTATAGTCAAGTTCAATTTAGTAACCAAATTTTTCTAATTATAATTATTTTGTAATGTTTATTGTACAATTTGGAGGGTATTTTCATGCACTCCAAAACACTTTTACTATTGAATAACAGAGAAAACTGAATCTAGTTCACCTGCAGTTCATTCCTCACTTCCTTGTTTTTAATCCAGATCTTTCCCTGCGTCTGTGGGTCAATCAGCAAAGGATAACGAGCTGCTTTGGTCACAATGATGCCATTCTGTATGGATAGATCATCGTTGGGCAGACCTTGAAGATTCCATTCACTGACAGTGGGGGCATCAATCAGCATATCCGTGAGATTCAGATTGTTTCCAAATGGGATTTTCCGAGCCTTCATTTCCCGTTGCCAACCAGTTAACAAGAGATTGCGGAATTCTTGGTTAAAAGGCCCCGAATAGGACAGAAAGGCTGTGGCTAGCAGGACATCCCCTAAATGCACAGAGAGATAATATTTGACAGATGCTGAAGTCTTTTGTCAGTGCACTGTTGCGAAAATGTGTGGGCCTCACTTTCTTACAAAATATGAAAGGTGGAGTTAAAGCAAAGGTAAATGTAAATTACCAGTGACCCTGTCTTTCACTCTTTATGTGAACATTAGATAATTGTTCTTTAATGATATAAAGGCATGGGGGAAATAGCCATAATGTGAATAAGCATCTCTGGTCAGTCTTTCTTTCTTTCTTTCTTTCTTTCTTTCTTTCTTTCATTCCTATCTCTTCCATCTAGACCAAAGGTCTACTCAATATAAGTTGCATGTTGTCATGTTGCAAATCCATCCACACTGAGTGAGGAATAGTTTTAAGTACAACATGTTAAAATATGGTGACACTTCCTGCATTAGTGAAAGGGTACATGAGCTGCTTCCTACAAGATGACGTTCCTACAAAGATATCATCTCAGTGAAAGAAACTCCCAGATACAAATACCATTACATGCAACAGACTTATATATTAATGATTTGCTATGTGAACACACACCCAGAGGCTTTCCTGCACTACTTTTCTAAGGACAGCACATTTTCTATAACTCTGCCATGGTTCCATGTTTATTTCTTCAAAGCAAATCTATGGCTCAACTGTATTCTTCTCTCTTCAGGTTAGTCTGCACCTGTAATCTTTTTAGAAGCACTCTCCTTCCTACAGAGAGAAGGTTAGTATGTCTAAAGCATAGAGGTCAGCTTTGTGGCCTAATTTGCTTTTTCTGTACCTGGAAATTACAAACAGAGAAAGAAACTGAAAGAAACACAGTTGTGTTCAGGCAGATATTATGTGTTTTTATTCATACCTCAAAAAGTTTGACATGGCTTCAGTCTGGTGGCCTGTTAGTTATCCTAATATTAGCTTTACAAGAACATCCCAGAGTAGTTGGTAGGTACTATGCCAATTAAAAAGTACTTTCCAACTATCTGTGGCCTAACTGAGGGCTCTTCCAGACCAGACATTAGTTCTCTTTTAACTGCCTTAATAGTATTACTATTTTCACCCCCATCCATGTTATGTTCCCCACATTTTGCTTCGCACAGTGCTTTTTCCCTTTTTTTTTCCTCTAGAAATCATGGTTCACTCTCAGTATTGCTTTACACTGGTGGGGGAGCTTAGGCACTAGTTGTTGAACTTTACTCACCTTCTCTTTTCTTTACAGCCGAACACTAAACCTTTCATAAGTCAAAAAAAAAAAAAACACCTCCTTTTCTATGCCAAACTGATTGACTAAAGCCAAAACAGTCTGCAGAAATGTCTGACTTCTCTGATCTTATGTCTTTTCACATTTATGCATTTAGCTGTTTTTAATTAATTAATTAATTAAACAAATGTTTGCTCCATTTTGTGCTAACAGAGGGACTGAAGGTGGTTTACAAAGAAAGAGCTGGAGGGGGGGAAACAAGTACTAAAACAATTAAAAATGCAACAGGTAACAATATTTTTTAAATTAAATATATTGATCATTAAAAAGTACTTTGATTTATTTTCATCTTTTGCACACATACAACCACCTACATACACACACAAAAGGAAGAGACACTCCCAAACTTGTAATATGTTCACTGGCTTTGTCTTTAGTCTTTGTGTGTGTGTGTGGTTTTCAGAGTCTGAGCCATGTTAGTCTGTGCAAGCATTTCAACAAAAAACACAAGACAAAACAAAAGCAAAAAAAGAGAGATCCTGTGACACTTTAAAAACTAACTGATATATTTTAATGTAACCCTGCTTTTTAACAGGAGAGGGACAACACAGGAGAAGCAACAGTCTGGAAGGCCCTAAGCATTGCCATTCTGTAAACCAATGCTGCCTAATGGGCTACATGTACTACTTTATATCCACCACTAGATCTGAACATCAGTCTATGCGTATCTCAAGAATTATCAGTAGCAATCAGAACCCACCTTCCCCAATTATCCAAGAAATATATTCAAGGGTTAGCCCAAAAAACCCACAACAGCCATTAGCAATACTCATACCAGGAAGCAGCCATATCAATAAAGAGGTTCACAGCATTTGCCCCATCTTGCCATTCTATGGTGATGGGGAAAAACTGTACACCCAGTCCACTTTACACTTAGCTCTGTTCCTAGATTCAGCAGTAGGGCTGCAGCATCCATTTTCAGATTGTTCTCAGGACCACAGAAACGTTCCACCCTCCATCCCCCAAATATGTTATTCTACGACTAAGCAAAGGAGAAGGAAAGGAGTGCACATGGGGGCATTTCTTGCTTTGCTCTTCAAAAATGAAGTCTAGCCATAGCCTATAGGTGTGTGCAGCACTGTGTGTTGCCAAATTTATTGCTTCACTATGCATTGGGCAGGGTCAGCTCTAAACCCGTGAATGCCAACTCAATTTTGTTGCTTTCTCTTGATTTTAATACAGAGTTTAAAACATTTATCAAACATGAAAATAATAAAACAGTTTATATCTTCTCAGTCCCCCTGTGCTGAAATTTTGCCCGTCTGGCTGAATATTTGATAAAGCACTAAAATATCAGTATGTTTTCCTTACCCACAAGCCTCTTTGTCTGCACAGCAAACTCTTTACTTTGCTCAGTCCACCTTTCCTTTTCCCCAGCCAGACCACTGATAAGACTGGAAGCTGTCTGCATTTTATGCCTGCAGCGTTCTGCATCCTCAAGCAACGTCTGTGAAAAAGGAAAAAAAAATAGCGTGCATCAGAGAACAAAGTAGCTTAGCCTAAATTCTTTCCATAATAGTTTAGGTCCCCTATCTATGTTATATGTACAGTGTAGTATACAAGTTGAGCTTTCTTTTAACAGGCACATCCCACTGTTTTTGTTACAATTAAAAATTATGGATGCCTCTGGATTCACTTCCGTCATATACAGTGTCTAAGATGTAGATTTTACTGCAAGGACCATGGCAAGATACATTTTTGAGCAGAGATTTTTAAAAAGTTACTTCTTTGGACTACAACTACCAGAATCCTCCCAGCTAGCATGACCAGTGTCCATGATGCCTTGATTCTAGGCTGCTCAACAGCAGGCTCTTGCCCAGATGATCAGTTCAGGCTGAGCCGAAATACAGTGGAAATGTTCAGTTGTCTCTACTTTGCTTTTAAAGAGTAAAAAAAAAAGTGTGTTGCTTATGTACTGCCCCATAGCGCTTCAAGCACTGTCTGAGTGGTTTACAAGTTAATTATGCAGGTTACACACGCCCCCCCCCCAGCGAGCTGGGTACTCATTTTACCAGCCTCAGAAGGATGGAAGGCTGAGTCAACCTTGAGCCGGCTACCTGGGATTGAACCCCGGGTCGCGAGCACAGTTTTGGCTGTAGTACAGCAGTTTAAACACTGTGCCACGAGGCTCTTCAACTCTTTCCATCCTGTGTCAACTTTTTTCATCATGTGTATCAGGGGATCTGGAATTGTTTTGATTATGGGCCCCCAAGAAAAATTCTGTTAGGATATAAGGAATATTGGCTATTTTTTGAGTATGTTTTTACATCTGTCTATTGAATAGATAAATTAAAAACTCACACTCATATTTTCATAATGGGATCTTCTGAGCATTTGTTCTCTGATAAGTTACTGACTGTGCACTGAACTTTCCCTGCCATCAAGAAGATGCAAGACTTATCTCCGTACCAACAACTCCAGAAGGTAAGCACATGTGGGGAACTGATTTTCTTTTTTAAAAAAATAATAATAATAAAAAATGATGTTTTCTTGGGGATAAAAGGTTTCTGGAGAAGGGACATTTTTAAAACTCAGTTTCAACCCCTATGGACTATTTGGCTCAGCCCAGTGGGTGGGGAAATCTTAGGAAGGGGATGAGATTCAAAATTTCAGTCGAGAAACAGAGGCCGAGCTGGAGACAGAAGGAGCTGCTGTTTCCCTGGAAGATGAAATAAGCCCTGACCAAATTGGTTTAAACAACAGAATTTCAATGTTTGTGCAAGAGACGCACTGGAAAGGTAAACCCATGTGGTGATATTATGTATTTGTATCTGAATTTGCATTTTATTTTGGGATTTTCGATTTGTACACCTGGAGCTATTTCCTTTGTGTTTTAGGATTTCCTACCTTAAGAGATAAAGGTATCTGGGACTTTGTTCCTAAACAGTGTATGACTTGTGTCATCCAGTTTGGGGTTGTGTAGCTATTATTGTTGTCATTTTGTTCTTCAAAAAAGCTTATTTTTATATAGCTCATTGTATCTGCAGTATTCATTCAAAGGAGATAGATCACATAACCCTGTCTCACTGTGAATCCCTATAAGCCCTATGCCCCTCTGCATCAAACAGGGACCGACCAGAAGAAAGGGGAGAGGAACTTGAAATTAGTCAGCCAGAGAGAGAGAGAAACACAAAACTTAAGAAGAAGAAAAAAGGAAAACAAAGAGGGAGAGAAGAAGAGACAGAAAGACAAAATATCATGGCACTACTTCAATATGAGCTTGTCGTGGATCGAAATCCACTTCTTCAGACATAAGGAGTGCAACACTGTATATATATATGCATATGTATGTATATGTATATGTGTGTGTGTGTGTGTGTGTATGTATAT